TCGTGCCATAAGCAGTGGTAAAATTGATCGCAATAGTTTTGATAGTGATGGGATCCAGTCTCGATTTATTGTTTTCATTTAAATACTCGCTGATGAGCCTCATGTTGTTTTGGAATTGTTGCCAGGAATCAGCGTCGAAATAAATTCTTTCTGTATAATTACCGGTTAATTTAATCAGCGACACGAAAACTCCTTCGTTTGTTGTTTGCAATCCAACGTGTATCCTTTTGTATGAGAGATGTTGAGAGCAACATATGAAACTTATCGTTTCATTCCTCGTTACAATTTGCCTTTGGAATATCGCAAATGTATTTTCGCTTCTCGGAATCAGGAACACTGCTCGGCTTTGGAGTATCGCGAATATTTTCGCACTTCTCGAAATCAGGAACAGCTTTTCGGTTCACCATTGCTTTCTTCCCAAATATAATTGATAATCACAAACGTCAAAATGAGAAGTAAAAGACTACTTTGCGTTTACAAAGTTGAAACCTCGAAAGACAAGATTCGAATGAACTCGAGTGAAATCATCAAGTGTGTCGACTTATTTGTTATAAAAAAGAATTGCGCGCGCAGACAAACAAATGAAAAAATTGTAAAACTTTAAATCTTTTAAATTTTAGATTTTTCTAGACTTTTGTTCTGCGTAGAATATTTTCTTCTAAAATTTTCTAAAATATAGAAGAAAAACGCTGAAATAAATTAAAAGAACGAAGAATTTCAACTGAGAGTGTCAACACGCCAAGAGAGAGAAGAATAAAGAGAGAGCGATAGGAGGAATCATCACAGGAGTAAAGAAGAATATCGAAGAGGAGAACAGGACAAAAACAAAAGAAAAAAGGACTGAAGGAATATACATAAGAAGAGTAATTAGGAAATAGGAAAAAATAAATGGAAAATAATAACAGTATATAATAATCAAAAAATAATCGAAATTATGATAGAAATCAAGGCTTTAATACTCGAAGATAACGAAGGAAATCTTTTAATACGAAGATATTTCAATGTCAAAATAGGAAAAGAAGGAATGCTTGTAACGGTACGTCTCTGCTCGGTCGGAATAAGCGGTGCAGAAGCGGGGATGTGGATCGGTTGGGCGGATATACTTATCGAATGCCGGAGTTCGGATGAAATAATAGCAGATGCTCGAGTTTAATTTAATAAGAAATAAATAAATAATTTATTTAGAGTCCTAGAAGTTCGTTTGTACAAAGCATATGCTAAGATAATGTTATTCCTCAAAACGTGACGCCACTCGCATATGATCGTTATAATTTGTGAGGATAATTTACGTACATAAGTGCAAGAGGCAGCTTAGTATTTGATTATGCAATAGGAAACACCGAGACAAGAGAAAAGATTGAGAAGCTGGTAGTTGAAGAGAGAATAGAATCAGACCATTTACTAATTCGTGTATATACATAGGAAGATAAAATACGCGCTTTGGATACAGGACAAAAGGAGGGGACATAAACTTTAAGCAACAAATATGGACAAAAGAAGGAATTGAAAAGGGAAATCTTAAGATCTCGGAAATTTAAGGAAACAAATCTGGAAGATGCATGGATAGAGCTAAAAAAAAGGAATAGAAGAAGCTACACAGGAGGAAGAAATATTTATTTAAAAAAAATACTAGGTGAAAAAAAGTGGAATAAAGAATGCAAAGAAAAGAAGAGAGAACTCAGAAAATTTCTCAGAAGAGCAAAGAAGAACAAAAAATTATTAGAAGAATATAAATATCACAGACAACAATACCAGAATTTCTGTAAGAATAAGAAAGAAAAATTTAGAAAGAAGAAGAAAAAATAAGGAAAATCAGTATGGAAACGGAAGCATAGAAATACATAAACATGGAAAGAAGAAGCTGGAAGAAAGGAGTGATATATAGTTCCTATATATTATTACGATCAAGCGGTGTTCCGCTTAACGCTATCCTCATAACGATTTCCAATCTAAAGATTCCTTGCCGACGCGGTCGTCAAGCGGTTGTCAAGCGTTGTTGTGACGAGAGAGACAGCGTGGCGCGAGAGTTTGAGCCGTATCGCGGCGAATTCTGATTTTATTGTGAAAGCTTGTTATTACTCCCGTGCTTCAATGTATAATAAAGTATTTCTTTCTTAAACTGTTCTTCCTTTCCTGGCGCGAGTGTAACGCGAGTGAACCCGCCGCGAGTGCGACAATATAAAGAAGATGATGAAGATAAGGTAACAAATTATCGTGGTATCTCGCTTCTCAATATGGCATATAAAATCTACGTCATGATTATAGAAGAAAGGCTCAAACAGGAGGTAGAGAAAAATAAGAGTCTTCCAGATATGCAACCAGGGTTCAGGAAAAAACATAGCACAATGGACAATATTTATATATTAAACTGTGCTGTGGAGAAGAAAATAAGTAAAAAAGCAGAAAAAGTATACGCATTTCTTGTAGATTTGAAAGTAACCTTCGATATCATAAATAGAGAAAAATTATGGATAATTATGAAGAAAAAAGAATTAAATAGACATTTGATAAGAAAAATCGAAGAAATATACGAGAAAACAGTTAATACCGTGCTAGTAAACTGAACATACTCTAAGGAATTCTGGACAAATGCAGAAGTAAGAGGATGCCCTTTGAGTCCAAAACTTCGCAATATACATAGCGAATTTAGAAGTGTTCCGAAGGGGACAGGCGGGAGCCTGGTGATCAACAAAGAGAAGACATAGAGTCTTGCGTATGCAGACGACATCGTATTGATGGCGAGGGAGGCTAACGATATGAGGGAAATGTTAAGTAGATTTTCATGTTTTTTAGAAAAAAAGGAATTAATTCTTAGTGTAGAAAAATAAAAATGATGATGTTTAGAAAAGGGGATGGAAGGAGGAAAAAAGAACTGTAGCTTTGGAACAGAGATAGGAAAAGTCAATCCTTTTAAATATCTAGTTACACGTTACAAAGTAACAATAGCGCAGATAGACATATCAAAGAGACAAAAAAGCTATATGTATTATGAAGCAAGTTTGGGAGATAAGGCAAAGGAATTTCGCCGGAGATTTCAAAAAGAAAATATGGATGATTGATTTAGTGAAGAGTATAATAATGTATGGGGCAAAAATCTGGAGTTGGAAAGAATATACGAAGTAATAGGAAGGTGTCAGAATAAATTTATAAAATGGGCATTAGGACTAGATTGGAATACACCGGGATATATAGTTAATGAAGAAACGAAAAAGCAGCTGTTAAGAATAGAATAAGGTAAAAAAGCGATTAAATTTGAGGAAAAAATTAGGGAAAATCGGATAATAAAATATTAATAGAATGCTTTAGGGAAACAATGAAAATAAGAGGAGATAGGAGTTGGAAAGAGAAATGTATTTTTGTAGGAACGGAATGTCGGGAAGAGAAGTTAAAAACTTCAGAAAGAAAGGGCGCGAGATTGTAAGCAAACTTACGGCAAGGGACAGAAACAAATACAAGATAATAAAATCCAGGATTCGAAATATGGGAAAAGGTATAAAGAATTATGTACGATAGGGATACCCGAATATTTAAGGAAAGGTAGTTATAAAGACTTTCAAAGGATTATTGCGAGATTTAGATGCCAAAATGAAGAATTAAGTAATAGATATTAAGGATACCGCGAACAGGATAAGAACGTATGTAGGCTGTGCCATACTGAAGTTGAAACATTAGAACATTTGGCGACAAAAGGTATAGTAGAGATAAGGCACAACACAAGAATAAATCAGTTGCTAGGAGAAAAGGGGAAAGGAATCAGTTGAATGAAGAATAAATTAAGAATAATGTAAGTTCAATGTAGAACTCTTTCAAAACCGAAAGGCGCGAAATAAATATATATCTATCTTTATTTCTTACTTATTTTTAAAAATAAAATTAAGAAAAGTAAAATTAAAAAAGGTAAATATAAAATAAAAATAAAATTAGAAAAGATAAATAAAATTTAAATCTGTGAGAAAAATTTAATAAACTCAGAAACTACGAAAAATTGAGGAGGAGACGTAAAAAGCGTTTCTTAAGTGAGGAACTGGTTTCTTATATGAGAATAGAAAAGATATAACTCATATTAAGGAAAATTTTATCTTACCCAATGGCGTACTACTTTTGCGCCCTATCCTCCTTTTCCGAAGTAATAAGATTTTCAAAAAGTATAAATACTGCGTAGAGTTAGAAAAAAGGTCTATTTCCGAGATTATACTTTCTCGGGGATGACGACCGATTTTCGCGACAGTACAGTATTGTGATACAGTGCTAGATCGAAGTTTTAAAAAAGTGAAAAATGGCTCTCCAACAGAAATTAAGAATATTGTTTGTCATATGCGAGAATATTAACCTTACCAACTATGAGGAGTAAGGCATCCCGCCGAAGATACGGCAGGAGGAAACGAAGCAAACGTAAGCAAAATAATAAAAAATGAAATCTAGATTTCTAAATTTTCAGTTTTTAAATTAAATTAATGAATCTTTAAGACGAGTACGAATGCGGATGAGAGGCGTACAGGACATTCCTCTGATTAATTTTGTGTCTGGTAAGAAAATAGCAAATATTGCTTTCAAATCTAATTCGATTAATATCAAATTCGATTAATAAAAACTCAATTTTTGTTTTCAGATAAGGAGGAAAATAGTAACAAGAAGATGTCGATGAGCGAAGCCGAAACAGAAATTTTCACACCAAGTAAGTAAATATTTAATATAATAAAAGTTACAAAACTCGCATAAGTTAATTCTTAAAAATAAATAATAATAATAAAAAATTATAAAAATAATAATAATAAAAAAAATAATAATAATAACGATATATTTTTCAGTACAAACAAATATCTTGGACGAGTTGGAAAATAAGGAAGAAGAAAATGAAGAAAGAGAAAAAAAAGAAAAAAAAGAAGAAGATGATGCTGAAGAAGAAAGAAAAAAAGATAATAATGACGAAGATGAAGAAGATGAAGAAAATGAAGATACGAGAAGTGCATTTGAGCAATTGCGTGGTGAACTTCTGAAAGAAGAAATCAAAGTTTTTTGCCACTACGAAACATCGCCAAGCTATTCTTCGAAAGTAACGAAGGTAAATTTGATATTATTTTAAATTAAAAAATTTATTTATTTATTTTGATAAATTTGTAATTTAATATTTTTTGTTAGAATGACATGCCCGGTAGAAAAGCGATAATGAGAAAAGCAACTTAAGGTAGGAGATATCTTTGGTATGCTGGAATCTATTCGCAAACAAAAATCAAACAAACAAAAAATCAATCAATAATTAAAATATTTATCATTAATAATGATAAATATCGCCTTTGTATGACGCGTCTTCGCAATTACAAAAGTTTTTTCCAAAAAATGTTCAAACTTGTTGACGAATTGTTCACAGGTATTTTATTACATTTTAATTAACTTTATCACCATTGTTAATCCATTACTTTAACTATATTTTAAATTCAACAGCTATTTACACGGAAAAAAAGAAAAAGGAAAAGAATTTTTTAATTTATTTAGTTTAACAATTATAACTCAATTTTATAACTTTGACTTCTTAATTTATATGCTACATAATATCTGATTTTTTAACGAAGCTATTTAATTATTAAGATGTACATGATCTTTTAGACATTTGATTTGTTAACATATGCTATTTGTAATCGCAATTCAAGAGTCTGAAGTGTGAGCACCGATCCTATTGATCAATACAGCTTTTTTGTACATAAACTAGACGATGTAATTGAAATAACGGGTTCGTACAATAATTATGGATTCATTCGAAGTTAAAAAGTGTTACTAAAGATGACCTGATACAGATCGAAACGTTTGATTATTTCACAATAAACAACACTTAGCAAGAAGATCCAGCTGGACTTTTATGTCCCTTGTTTTTACCTTATTATTTAGTAACATTAGCCTTATTCAATTTGTTTATTATTTATCATTAATATTTTTTGTTTTCCATTTTCAGTACAAACAGAAGGAGACATTTTGCGTGAAGAAAATTCCGCGGAAAATAATCATTATTTACGTCAACTTCAGCAATCACCTCATCTTCAACATTAGCAGCAGCATCAGCAGCAGCGACAGCAGCAACAGTATCAACAAGAGCATCAGCACCAGCAAGAGCATCAGCATCAGCAAGAGCAGCGGCAGTAGCAGCAGCAACATAAATAAGAGCATCAGCATCAGCATCAGCAAGAGCAGCAGCAGCATCATCAGTTAGTCAACGAGAACACCCAGGTCGACAATGAGGTCGGTGAACATTTCAATTATATCGAATTACGGGCGGAAAATTCGCGTAAATTTTGAAATTTTAAAATAGTAGGGAAAGAGCGACATTCGCGATACATCCGCTTGCGGAAGATGCTCGCAATATCGTTAATTACTTAGAAAACGTGTTTCATGAAATCTACACGTATGCGATACGTTTGAGTGAACCGGGCGATTACGTGAGGTTATCTTTCGATTCGGCGAATTTAACACATGGCCTCTCGTTTCGTCCGGCACGACATTTGACTCATGAGGACATTTGGAGACTCGTGAGTTCGGTAGCGCAAAGCGCCGGAGGTTTCGATATCGCGATAGATTTCACCATACGCGTTTTTGCGGCATCTTTGGGGCAGGACGCGATAGATTTCACCATACGCGTTTTTGCGGCATCTTTCGAGGGGTGCGTCGAATAAATTAACGGGTGAAGATGTCGCGAAACGTTCAATTTTGCAAATAAAAAATTCCAACAATTTGTGTCTTTTTCGCTCCCTCATAGTAGCGCGGACGCGCTACGTTTCACTGCAAACGTGGTACTCTGTGCACGAAGGAGTTGCATGAGAGGTGAGAATCCGTGAGATACACGAGTTCCTCGTTACAGCGCGAGTTAGCGATCGAGTTAACAAGGAGCCTGGGTATCATAATTACCGAGGAGGGTTGTGGACATATAATAACATCAAGCGTTTTCAACGGTTTCTCGCTGCCGAAAATATCGCGATAGTAATTTATAATTTTAATAGTTTCGACCGAGGCGAGAAATCGAAGTACGATAATCGTGCGTTGCTCGTCAACCTCGGACACGAACCTTCGTAATACATTATACAAATATAATGTATTACGAGGATTCGTGTCATTATAACCTAATACTAAATTTAAGAGCCGCAGTCGGTTCGCGTGGTGGTTATTACAAAGCATGCAACACGGGCTTTCGAAACGATAGGGGACATTGTTGCGCGAAAAAATGCTCACGTTGTCACGCATCGCCTCCCTGCATAAATTAGTGTGGAAATAATTAGGTGCGAAGCGTGTAACCGTACGTTTTTCGATAATTGTTTCGAGCGTCATCGGGCGGAAAAATCGTATAAGGGGAAATCTCACCTGAGCATATGTAATTCTGTTAAAATTTGTAGGAATTGTGAGCGATTTATACGCACAAACACGGAACATAAATGCGACACGATCTTTTGTAAAACATGTCGTTCGTTACAACCTTCGAATTATTTATGTTTCATGCGAACTCTCGCTCGTAAAGCTGATGGTCAGAGTACAAGTACAATGGTAATGCGAGCAGAAAAATGAAAATCGTGTGAAAATAAAAATGATAATGGTGATGAACGATCGAGTAAATGGTCGTGTCGCATTTATATTTTATAATTTTGAAACTCGGCAAAACGAGACGCTTGTAGGTACCGAAAACGTGAGGATTCACGTAACTCTTTGTGTTGCGCAACAAATTTGCGAAGCGTGTGCAAACGAAGACGACATGACGGTGCGTTGCCGACGGTGCGGAGTGCGCGAGTTCGTATTTCGTCTCGATCTCGTAAAACAATTTATCGATTTCACAACGCGAACGACAAAATGTTTCAAATAAATTATTTGTATTACGCATAATGTGAAAGTGTTCAACGCACAATTTAAAACATTTAGTAGAAAGACCGGAGAGCACCCATGAACTGCGTGTAATTTTGAACGGAACAAAAATTATCTTAATGATGAGCATACGAAATTTATTGATAGTATTAATTATATGCCAATGCGTTTACCTATGACCTTTGATCTGAGCGTCGAATAAAGGCTGTTTTCCACACTTATTTAATCTATATCGATAATCATCATATATAGGACCAATTCCCGACGTCAAATATTATTCTCCCGAACACATGTCATCGGAAGAACATGAAAAGTTCCTCGCGTGGCATGCGGAAATGATTCGTGAAAATTATATTTTCGACTTTCAGCGTGAAATTATCTGATATTATTGAAATGATGTAGATATCCTTCGACGCACGTGCATGGCTTTTAGAAAAGTATTTTTAAAACGCGGAAACGTGTGTCCGTTTGAAGAATGCACGACTATCAGTTCCACGTGCATGAGAGTTTTCGTAAAAATTTTTTGCGTGAGGAAGAAATAGAAGTCATTCCTCGGATACAGAAACGTCGACAGGCAATCAGCGTAACCTCCCTTTGGACACGGAACTATTGGACACGATTCGTTTGAACACGCACGATTAGACACCGTAGAATTGGACACATATTATTGGACACCGCATTATTGGACACTGCATTATTGAACACCAAAGTGAATTTCCACAAGGGTTTTGTGAAATCCCTCTATCCCTCTCCTCCTGATGCTTTTGGGGCAAAATGAGATTTATAATTATTCAATTTCACATGAGTTTACGACTTTTCACATAAAGTGAGTTTCCACAAGAGTTTTGCGAAATCCACTCTATCGTTTTCAACCTTGTGAAAACTCATTTTATGTGGAAAGTCGTAAACCCATGTGGAATCAAACAATTATAGACCTCCAAATTTACTCAATGAATAACGCTATTAATTTTGCGATGTTATCAATAATTTGATGTCCATCTTGATGTCTAATAATGTGTCTAATCGTGCAGTGTCCAATAATATAGTGTCCAGTCATACAATGTCCAATCGGTCGTGTCAATCAAGTCGTGTCCAATAATTTCGTGTCCAAACAGGATACGCTCCACACAAAGCTCTGCAGTAATTGATATGGATGGAGTGTGAACTCGGACATCCCATTATCTGTGGGACGAGAATCGTGAATATAAAATCGATGGCACGCTCGTCGATACTATGAAAGTGGGGACGGAAAATAAGATGCCAGCGCAATGTGTTGCAATTTCACGTTTGTTTTTGACATAGGTGCCCTTCGTGTTTTAAGGCGAATCGTGATAGAACGCTTTCGGCCGCGAATCGCGGAGATACGATTTGCGCACGCTACGAATGGACATTCATGATATCATGGCGTCTTCGTAAACGCAGATATCACGTGATTGAGAAATGGGAGTGCTCTTTCGACCGAGAAATTTCGAATAATAGGGAAATGCAAAATTTTCTTAAAAATCATCCGTTGATAAAAAACACTCCTCTTAACTCTCACGATGTGTTTTATGGTGGACGCACAGGAAATACCGTCACGCGATACGAAGTTTCGGGTACAGAAAAAATACGTTATGTCGACGTGTATTCTCTATATCCGTTTGTATTGAAAACTGGTATTTTCTCGATTGGCCATCCTAACATTTATGTCGAACAAGAGTGTTCTTCGTTAATTGGAATATCATCAAATTATAATTTTAACTCGGTCGAAGGTCTCGTGCAATGTAAAGTGTTCCCACCGTGCGATCTCTTTCATCCGGTATTACCGTATCGCGTACGAGGCAAATTATTGTTTGCGTTATGTATTGTTGCGAGACATTTTCACAAACTGAGTGTACTCACGAAAGCCTGACGGATCAAGAATTCGAGGGTACTTGGGTGTCTTATAAATTACATAAAATCATCAAGAAGAGTTATCTTGCGACGCACATGAATGAGTTTTGGCAATATAAAATTGCGCGATACGAACCCGATACTCGTCAAGGCGGTCTGTTTACTGAATATATTAATACTTTCTTACAATTAAAGCAAGGAGCAAGTCGATGGCCGAGCGAATGTGGAGAAAACGGCGACGATGATGATGATGCTAAGGAGTATTACCTTCGGGAATATGAAGAAATCAAGGGTATCACGCTCGATAGGCGTAACATCGGAATCCCGATGTACATTCGTTCGCGAAACTCTGTTTAATTCATTTTGGGGGAAATGTGGCCTACGATCCAATTTGCCGAGTACCGAAATCGTGAAATCTCACAGCCAATTTATGACTTTCACGAGTCCTGAGCACGAGCTAACACGAAACATATATTACCTGTAAACGACGAGATAATATATGTTTCCTGATAACTCCGAAAAGAGGCGATGGTGCCTTCACCGCTTACGAACGTCGTGATTGCGGCATACGACACAAGCACGTTTAAAATTGTATAATTACTTAGAATTATTAGATACGCGGGTTTTATTAGGATATGGATTTGTGTGTGTGTGTGTGTGTGTGTGTGTGTATGTGTGTGTGTGTGTGTGTGTGTGTACATATAGTACAGGCGATCCGGACAAGTATGAACCGTATAGAGAATTTCCTGGGCCATATGACGAACAAGCTCGAGAGCTACGACTGCTACATCGACTCGTTTGTTTCCGGTAGTCCGAAATTCTACGCGTATATTGTTCGTACTCCGTCGCACATATGAAACGTGTAAAATTAAAGATATTAATTTAAATTCTTCAAATAATAAATTAATAAATTTTAATAATATTAAGAATATGTTAATAAAAAAGGAAAGAATAAGACGAGATGAAGCTCCTTGATTTATGAAGGTCCTTCGATAAATCTACATTTCAGTACAATTCGACGCACAGCATTTCACGAAATTGTCACGCGAGATGAAACAAAGACATGTGCGTCAGTCTTGCTGAAACGTAAATTTATTAATAATCGTTATTCGCTTCCATACAGTTATGTGATTAAATTTTCCCGTCTTGTTCTTTCTTAAATATTCGAGTTTTCCACTTAGTCAAAAAATTGTAAGAATTTTGTAAAAATATACTTTTTGATAGAACGAATTGAGAATAATGTAAACTACATATGTTAATATTAATTTATATTTTAAGTAGTAAAATATTGTAATTTAAAATTAAGAAGTTACGTTTTATTTTTATAAAGTTTATATTTATTTGATTTGTACTTGAATAAATATAAGAAATATATTTCTTAAAACATGTTTTTCCTCTAACTCCTTTCCACCTATTTTTAAAAATAAAGTATTTTATATTTAAGAAAAAATTTGATCTGTTTAATTTCTTTCCTTTGCATATTCTATGCTCCGCTTTTTTATAAAAATGACACCTTTTTATAGAAAAAAATAAGTTTTACTAGATTTCATTTCACATAAAACTATTTCATATTTAAGAAAAATAAATAATTTTATCTTTAATTTTTAACGCAAACTATACGGCTAGCTTATAACAATGTTTTGCCGGTGTTAGCATCTCCACGAATAAACTTGCTCACACCGCGGAGTAAATCAGCTCATCCCTGCTTGCGGTGTTTCTCGCTACCCTTTCGCGAGGGGAACGCTGGTACGAGCATCTTCGCCGTAGTCCCGGACGCGGGAATAAGCTTATCCCCTCACAACCCTCGCTACTCTTTATGAAATCGCGCACAGATGCGAATCGGATATTTCGCGAAATGGATGTGCGCTGGAACATCCGTGAACGTCGATCATGTGCGGTCCTATGGGATGTAGGAAAACGAGCTTTGTGAAAAAATTTCCCCGTCATTTATCCGAAATGGCTGATGTACGTTTTGAAAGAATTTTGTTTTATTACCCCGAGTGGCAGGATGCTTATCAGTAGTTTCAATAAACTCGAGATTCCGCGATCAAATTTCACGAGGAATTGCTACGTCCAGAAGATTATTCTAATGATCCAACCCGTCCGAAATTAATAATAATTGACGATCTTATAAAGGAATCGTCCTCGAACGAAGCGATCGTGGATCTGTTTACCAAAGGAAGTTATCATAAGAATCTCAGCATGATTCTCATCTCGCAAAACCTCTTTCATCAAGGACGCGGACAGCGCGATATATCCTTGAACGCGAATTATTTTGTGGTTTTCAAAAACCCGCGGGATCATGCGCAAATTCAACATCTTGCGCGGCAAGTCTATCCCGATGATTTAAAGTTTCTCGAAGAAGTTTTTCGTACGACGCCACGTCTCAACCCCACGGCTATTTATTGTTAGATCTGAAATAATCGACTCCAGAATTTAGGTTTCGAACGTGCATATTTCCTGAGGATACGATGCATTACGTACCGCGTAAATCTATCAGAGATAGCGTATAAAAGCGTCTTACTGTCATTTGTGCCGATCAGTCGCGCGCATGTAATTTCCACGCGATGAAGAAGGGAACGACATCGACAGTAAAATCGTCCGCGAGAAAAATCGTCGAACGTTGGAACGAAACAATTTTATCACGGTTTGATTCGGAGTATGAGTAGAATTCTTAGTTCCCCCATTCCGCGCGACGTAAATGAGAAATGGAAATTGTATAAAGTATTTTGGTGATATTTCCATTTTGTTGCAAAGTCCCAAAGGGAAGAGAATTCGACGGATGAGAACAACCGATAAGCAGAAGAGGAGTGTTGCAGAATCGATACGTGAATCACGAACACCGGGCAAAACTTCACTCCTCGACGAAACACATAATATAGCGCTACAGTACTTTCTCCGTAGTAGCGAACGGAGAAAGATTCGAATATCATGGACCTGATAAACGATGCGATACGCGAAAGAAAAACCGTGAAAGTAGGAAGAGTTTGTGAAACTGCGCACCACAAACACCCCGACTGTACTGGGAAATACGGAATTGTTATCAACGACATTTGTCCAGACATTATTACCACGAGTTCCACGAGAAAGCCGAGAAAACTTACAGCGAAGATACGTCAGATAAGAGAAGATAAGCGCAAGATTGAAGAAGAGCAAACAATTATGCCCTTTTATTCGCCTTGTTTTCATAAAAATGAATCGTCTCTAAACTTCGTAAAAGATTCTCCACCGGCGAGAAAAAGGCGTTTACTCGAATGAATCGCGCTGGAATGACAGAGCTTGAAAATTTGTACTACGATCCGGCGCATTACGCTTAATGTTCAGCAACGGAAAATCTGATGCGTGCCGCTAAACTGAATTTCTCACATAAAGAAGTAGCTCGTTGGCTCGAATCGCAAGACGCGTACACGTTGCACTGTCCGTCGAGACGAAAATTCCCACGATTATGTTACAACGAGCAAATATCGATGATCTGTTGGAGGTCGATTTGATCAAGCTTCATAATCTAAAAAGTTACAAGGAGGGATTTTCTTATCTGCTAGTGATTATCGACATATACTAGAGACCAAAAATGCCTTCCCCCTTAAGTTAGTAGCGTTTTAGGCAGAATATAGCCAGTTATATCGCATCTAGGTATTCATACATTATGTTAAATTCGATAATATTGCCTCTTGCCGCTTGTCAAAATCGGTCAGAATGACAGCTCCTCGAAAAAAAAATAATATTAGCTAATTAAACAAATAATCAATCGGGTAAATATTTACATTTAATATTTCACTCTAACTGATTTTGACAAGCGGCACGAGGCAACGTTGTCGAACTTAACATGATATATGAATATCTAAATGCGATATAACTGAGTATATTCTGAACGCTACTAACTTAAGGAGGAAGGAATTTTTGGCAGCTAGTATACTTAGTAAATTCGCATGGGTAGAATCGTTGTGAGAGAAAACGAGTAGT